CTTTTATGTTTTTTGCTACATTCAAACCACAGCCGCTCTGTGTCGGGATGTCGCTATGGAAACGAGTAACTGCCAAGCCCTCCTAATATTCCCTACCTCCAATCCTGATTGGACAAGTAAAATAAAAGAAGGTCCATGATTGGACGAGAGAGTGGGTTCATGGATTGTGTGATTGGATGAATGTAACATGACGAGAGCGACCAAATACAGCAGATTTGATTGCGCAATAACAAACACCTGTCTCGATGCCATCATAGATGACTGTCAGTCAGGCTTTACGCAAGAGAGGCACATCAGTAACAATATTAGGTTGATTCTGAACTTGTTTGATTATAAGGACATCATAACTGAAAACGGATATATTTTATTTGTTGATATCTATAAAGCCTTTGATACTGTAAATCACTGGTTTTTATTTGATGTTTTGGATTTTTTAGGATTTGGTCAAAATTTCAAAAGAGCAATTAAAACGCTATATAATGATTGTAATAGTTCGATTAAACTTATGGGGGGAACGACTCAGAGATTTCCCATTTCTCAGGGTATTAAACAAGGAGATCCTGCTGCGCCATTTTTGTTTTCATTAGTGATGCAAATGTTGGTACTGCAAATACAAAATGACACATTTGAAGGAATTACCATCTCAGGTCAGGAAATTAAATGCTGTCAACTAGCAGATGACACAGCTATCTTCTTGAAAAATGAGTTCCAAGTTAAAAAGATTATAAATTGCATCAATGCTTTCTCTGAAGTGTCAGGTCTTACCTTAAACATAAAAAAATGTGTCTTGTTTCCTCTCAAAGAGGGCAGTATCCATAAAGAAATCGAAGGTATCCCTGTCAAGAAGGAAGTAACTTACCTGGGAATTAATATTTGTCGAGATCAGTCTGAGAGGGTTATTTCTAAGTTTCATAATCTGATTCCAAAAATTAAATAGATTTGATTTATGGCTGATGAGAGATCTATCACTTAAAGGTAGAATCCTCCTGTCAAAAACAGAAGGGTTATCCCGCTTGGTTTATCCTTCAAAAGTAATAGATGTTCCTAAATCGCTGATAAAGAAAGTTGACCCTGCCCTTTATAACTTTGTCTGGAAAAACAAATCTCATTATTTAAATAGATCTGTAATAAGTAAGTAAGTTAGACTTAAATACATCAAATGTGATATTCAAAGTGAACTGGATCAAATATTTTATTAGAGACCAAAATAAACTATGGTATCCAGTTGTCTAATTTTCACAGACAGGCATTGTCTTGTTGGCTTCTTTTCTACAAACATAATTTTTCCCTACATAAATCTCTAATTTGGAATAACAAATATATCAAATACAAAAATAAATCGATTTTTTATGAGACATGGATCCAAAATAATTTTTTTTTTACATTTCTTAAATCTGTGTTTCTTTTAAATAAGATGTGCAATAAGATATAGCTAAATAATATCATGTATTCATCTTGTACACTGTATTTATTGGTTGCGCACCCTAAATATATTTTTCTTGTAGGAAGTTTTTAATACTTTTAGTTAGCATGACAAGACTGCACACCTTTCTGTTACCCTTTAATCAACTGCTTGTGACTTTTTTAAGATCTGTGCATAATACATCTAGAGGATGATTAATGAGAATGTTTATTAAGAAGATGTATTCCACACACATGCTTTTACTTCAATGTGTACTTTGTTTAATGTTAGGAAAAGATTGATTATCTTTTAGACATACAGTATCTTCTTATAGTGGAATACTTTTTCATGAACGTTCATACACACTGACGAAAATCATCAAAGTCAGCAACAACAGACGCAAGAAGTATGAGATCTTTTCAATTTCTTAGCATCAAAATGTGGGAACGTAGGTATCACTTCTTTAGAGTTTAACTTCTTTCCTATAGGTCCTGTAGTGGGAAAAAGTATTCAACTATTCACCCTAGTTAAATAAATGAAGATCGATGGATTTCACTCAGTCGACACATTTATGTCTTTGCAAAGAGAGAACAGTTCATCATACAGCCCTTATGGCACAGCATCCAGCCCTGTTCTACCTGAGCAGCGTTCGTTTCCCCTTATGTACAACTATAGAAAAGTAGTCAGAGTGAAAACAAATTACAGACACTTTGGTTAAAAGTAACATTTTATGAATAAACCTTGAGAAAGAATCTGGTTTGTTATGGTGAAGAAGCTATGTCTGGTCTACAAACACCCTCACCGGAGAATGGTGTGGTCTTGAAGGTGAAACAGAGAGAGTGAAAACTTTTATAGTGAGTAAATAGGATAAATGAATATATAATAGAAAAGAAATTAAAATTTTCCAACAACAGACCACCCTTTCGATTATAAAAGGATATTATCCTTGTGTAATCGATATTAAAAAGGGAAAATTAATGAATATAAAAAAAAAGTAAAAAACTAAAATTGTAAATAATAAAAATAATAATAATAATAAAAAATATATATATATATCAAGAATGCACACCTGCAATCAAGCCAGTGGACAATGTTAAAGGATTAGAATAGATGGAAAAATCATGGAAAAGATTATGATGGCTAAAATATGTTGCCAATTAATAGAGCCCTGGAATCACATCCTAGTTGCCAAAAACATTTAACTTTTTCCCCCCAATGATGATAGTTTTATAGCCCTGATTGGATAACATGCCAAAATACATCACCTTCAGTGAGGCTCTTAGGGGGTCTATGGTGCAGGGGCAGGTAGTGAATCCAGCTCCTCGATGCTGATTGGCAAAAATACTTATGGATTTTTTGACAGGCAGTGGGAGACAATGAGGAGGCTTTCCTCATGAATCGAGAGGGGACAAAATGACGACAAGAACAGTCATCTTGTGCTGAGCACATGATGTGGTTTCTCGAGTTGATCATTTCGGAGCGCTTCACAACAGCTATTTTCATCTGTTGTAGTATTGTGTTTAATGCTTTTCAACATTTGTTAATGCAACAAGTGAAAATTGGATTTTATCAACACCATTGAGCCTCCCCTGTTTCAGAGAGCAGCAGCTGCAACTGTTATTTGTATAAGTGATTTAATAATCCTTGCACTGTTCAGCAGGTGAGGGACCCAGATATTAAGTTGCTGAAGGGATGCAATTCCTCTAAAAGGAAAAAAGAAAACATTAAAGTAGCACATAACTCACAAAACTGAATGCATTAAAGCTAAAACAAATGTCTCTCTTGATGATGATCTGAAATACTTGGCTATAATAGAATAGCCTATATTATACTGTATGTCTAACAAACTCAAGGATGAGGCCATTGATATATTGAGGGAGATCTGAAATAGCTCTAAGCAGAAAGGGATAAAAACGAAGGTCTATTTGGATTTATAACATTGTGAGGGAGATTTGGCTGCAGGCCATGTCTGGAGCGCTGCGGGGTGGAGCGGAGACGGAGGATGTGGGATTTCAGGATAACAGGCGAAGCGGCGCAAGTGAAGTTAGACACTGTCATCAGACAACATGTGCTAATTAATAAATGTTTTAAATCAGATTGGGTCCGGATTGCCAGCAGGTGAATCTGGATCAGGACCACGTTCCACTAATCTGTGACCTCTGCATTAAACCGAAGCCAAGAATAACGAGTAACGTTTGTTTTAAAAATGTAAGGAATAGAAAGTACAGATACTTGTGTGTAAATGTAATGAGTAGAAGTCAGAAGTAGGAGGAAAAATAAGTAATGGAGTAAAGTATAGATACCTAAAAAGTGTACTTAAGTACAGTAACGAAGTACATGTACTTTGTTACTGTACTTACCTCTGGTGTCAAGTGAACTTGTAACAATTTTTTTGTTATGCACACAAACTGACATGTATTTATTCATAAAATGTATCATACCCGATGTTGATTTTAAATTATGAATCATATTTGTATTACATTACAATTTTTTATAAAATGTACCTAAAGGAAAGGAAAAAAAGCCACTTTAGATTTATAGATATCTACAAAGTTCCCTCACACAGGTGGGCCATATCTTACCTGTATGAGGTATCTGATCCTCTGTTATTGATGTAATAACAAATAACATAAGTGAACAACATGAATTGTGGTTTCCTGTGGGTGGTAAAATGAATACAACAGTAATATCAGAGAGAATTTAAACACTTTTTAACGACATTGCAGAACATTCAGGACATCTGTGAAGCAATGACTTGGTCTTCGCCACTCGCTTTTGCCCTGTTTTATAAGTTAGATGTCTTGGTTCCTAAAGGAGCCTTTGCAGTTTTAATCTCGGGGGTCCTAGCTGGAACAGAGTGATCACAGTTAGATGCTGGGGATTGCTGAAGATAAGCTGTCTGGCAATATGGGAGTTACCATATCCCATAGTGAGATGTCGAATGAATGCTATAAATGAGAACTTTAGGTTACTTGCATAATCCCGGTTCTCAGAGTAGCATAAGTTAGATGTCTCACCAGACAACCCTTATCCCTGGGACGAAGCAAGAAGAGGTGCTGATTTCAAATGATGCTGCATAGTGGTGCAATCTATTTAAAGGAAAGGTGATGTGGGCTTCACTATCACCAGCCGATAAGGATTGCGTATTGAGGTAAAGGTATATGCATGAGGGGCATATCCAAACAAAATGAATGAGAACTGGGGCAAGTGACCTAAAGGTATTGCCAAATTGGAAAAACACAAGTTTTTCCTTTTGTTAAATTTGGTCTGTATATAGGTCAATTTGTATAGCACACTGTTATCTTTATATCCTGCTTCTAGTCTGTTTATATTGGTTGTCTATACTACCTTAATCTTTCATGCAGGGTCTGTGTCAGTCATTGTCACAGATATGAGAGCGATAAATTACATTTCTATTTCTTTGGAAGTACTGCACATATAAAGTCTTGAATCTTTAACTAAACCTATAAGCTTAGCTCAGGAGAACAGAAAATAAAATAGAACACAAAGTGTGCAATCATTAAGAATAAAAGCAACCTGCCATATTTAGAAAATAAATGACTTAGGAACTATTATAATAACAATAAAATAAACAGACTTCTTAAAAAGAATACAGTTTTTATTCAAAGCCACAAGGCATCAGATCATTTCAAAATGTTAATAGTTTAGAAGAAGAAAAAAAAACTCAGATAGCAGGCTCTTAAGGCACGGAGAGAAGAAGAAATGTATTGAAAAGTTGAAACAAACGGTTACAATTGCAAGGCAAAACATTTACAAGCATATAGCCAAAGATGCATTATCTCAATGTGTTGCAGCAACCTGATCATAAAATGCAAAAAGGTAACTTTCTTTGTTTACATAACTCACATATGGTTTTAGACTCTCAAAACACTTATTCAAGTATCCTCTTTTATATATGTATGTCGTCTGCAGCACTTATTCATAGCCCTAAAATGCATTTTTCCCACAGCATCTGAGACAAAATTTAGAATTACAAATATGGTGCAAATCTGCTAAAATTAATACAATTTTGCATACGTGCATTCCATGTATTTCTTTACAGACGTAAAGAATCAATAACACTGCATAACAAAACAAACGGAAAATAAATAACAAGAAAAGGATTGCTACTTATGAGGCTTATGTTTGGGATTGTATCTGTTCCTTTGGTTCATTTTCACATAAGAAAAACAGAATTTGTCATATTGTTTTTGCATCAACACCAAATAAATCTCAAAGAATTTGCACACATTTCTACAAAACTTCCATTAAGGAAAGATAATGTCATGAAAACACTTGCAAATTGTGGTTTTCATACAGAAATAGGAGAAATATCTACATAAAAGTCTGCAAACAAACTCCGGGTGGTTTGCATGTTTTACTATTTATAGTATGTGTCTTTACTCATCAGTCTGAAAAGGGAATAAAACTTCTCCTTTAGAATAGCTGAAAAAACATATAACAAAGAACCACATCACAGTTTTAGAAGACAAGAGTGGTTTCACTGTGTGATGAGGGATTCTTGACTTCTTCGTATTCCTAGAGATGACAAACCATCTTCTGTCAGTTCATACCTGCAGCACAAAACAAAGAGCAAAATGATCAGATTTAGTTCCTTTAAATCACAGGATGCAAGTCAAAAATTAACAGTAGAATGAAAGAGAAAACATAAGGCTTGTTTACCACTGAGTGCACCCTTTTGAGATATCCTCTCCACTTAAATCTACCAGCACCTGCCAAGAAAAAACTTCATTTAAAAAAATGGTTATTTCATTTAATTTTTTCTTCAATACATCAAAGAAAGTGTTGAAGTGTGGAAATAGAATTAAAGAATAAAAAAGGAATGAATAAGAATGGGAATTGAAGAAAAACTTTGTGTGTTTTAAGGCAACAGGATATTTCTACATGTCTTTAGTTCTTTTTCTGAAAGGACAACTTTTATAAAGATGTGTGCCTGGATATCACTGCTTCTTGAGTTTTTTGTTTTTTTTTAATGAGGTGTCCTGTAAAATGTAGATTTAGATATGTTCATAGCTTTCTGATACATAAGGATAAAATTATTCTCCAATTTTCATTTTTTCCGTCTTGCTTTGTGTTTCAATCGATCAAGTTTTTTCTTGTGGTATAGTTGCAGTTTTGTTTTTATGAATGTCTTTAATTGGGTTGGGCAAGAAGGAAAGAAATCCAAAGTATTCCTTAATCCTTAATAGTCTTTTTTAAACTTAAATGATAAAATACAACAGCAAAACAGCATCTAATATAATAATATAATAAATAAATAAGGCTTATTAAATGTTTTTTTAAATCTTGCATGACCCGTTTATTTTTTTAGATTTTTTCCTTAATATCAAATATATTTGGCATTTTTGACTCGTATTCTAGAAAATGATCGTTGTTATGTGTTATTTTATAAGTTTCTATACTTTCAGTATTGTTTTTGTGTTTCGTGTACTCTTTAAAGTGTCTCGATAACAGATTAGGATAAAATGAAATGGTTCAATAAATTACCCTGATAAATTTTAGTTATTTAAAATGTTATCACAGGTACAATTTGAAATTAATTTCAAGTAAAAAAAAAAAAGAAATAATGAAATGCAACAACAAATATAGTAAATATAAATTAGAATATATAAAAAATGATATATATATATATATATATATATATATATATATATATATATATATATATATATATATATATATATATATATATATATATACATATATATATATATAAATGTTTTACCTTTTTCTTTAAACATTTGGTGTGTTTCTCTAATTCAAAATATGAAATGTTTAGAAAACCTTCACAGTGACAAACTATATAGAGACGTTTTACCTTTCCCAAAAGGCCTTTGTGTTTGGACAGGATGCTCCTTCCATTTTTCACCGCTACATCCAGAGTTCTCCTATTCAGCTCCACATGGGAAATACTGAACTCAAACCTACAGACACAAATTCCCAGAGAGTGGAAATTGGCAGACTCAAATCAAAATCTATCTTTCGTTAAGCAGCATACACAGCCCACCTGCAAAAGCAACTAACTCTAAACCACTATCACTCTAATCATGACATCCATTGTTTGAGGAAGGACCTAAAATAAAGGTTTTTAATTATTTGCTGGTTTGATTAAGATTGCTCCAATCTATTAGGGGAGCCTTTTGATTGACACAGAGTTTGAAAAACGTTAGTTGCACCCTGCAGAAAATAACCTACAACATAAAGAACTTTTCCAAACAACTGCACCTTATCTGAAGCTCAGGTCTCCTAAACAAATTTACATGTGAAGAGACTCAAGATGCTGAATGCAGTCTGCAAAAAAGCCTGCTACTGTAAATGTTAATGAGGACCCCTAAAAAATGAGGAGCGCACAAGTGTAGCTTTCATGGAAGCTGTGCAAAGATTAAAAGCTTTGCTCTAAAGACAAACACAAACATCAGATGGCAGCTTAACTGAATTATGCTACAATGTTCTGAATGTTTTGGACACAGAACAGAGAATATGTCTGGCTTAACATGCAGAATTTCAGGAAGCTTATGCCAAGTGTGAAGCATGGAATGGGACCTGGCCGGTTTACCACCATACCAATCTATCATAGATTCCACCATGTGTTAGAAGGTGTTTGCAGAAAATGTGAAACTATCCAAAGAAAACTCAGCTGAAACCAAACTGGACCCACAGACACCTCAAAGACCCAAAGTAAGTTTAGTAAATATATCAAAACCAGGAAATGAAAACCTAAAAAACAGACTTTTTCTCACTTTTCTCAACTTCTCTAGAAAGTTGTTCAGATCAAACACAACCGTGAAAATACTTTTGTGTGCTTACAAAAACAGTATAAAATCTATTTAAATCTGTTTCACGTAGAAAAAAACACTGAGTTTCAAATCAGCTAAATGTGTAAGATTTCAAGCAATAAATGGCCATACATGGCAATAGATTGTCATATTCCCACTTAAAAGAAACAAAACTTGATATGAGGGTGTTTAACCTACGTTTGATCATAAACAGGATTAAGAGTCTTCTTCATCGTGCTTGTCTTCCTCCTTCCCGACCGGCTCTTGTCAGGCAGCAAATACAGGCGTATGAAGGGGTCTGAGCCATCTTTGGTGAAGGCTATCAGATTTCTGAGGGAATGTGGCACAAAACTGTCAGACTCATCCTGCTGGGCTATTGCTACTTTGTTCAATCTGTTTATTCAATCTATAAAATATGTCAATCAATGACATAAATAATGTTTGGATGCTTCAAAATGATTTATGCTCATCGTAAATCTATTGCTGTGGTTTAAACCTGACCTGCAAGCGTGCACCACCACAACCAGTTTGTTCCTCTGGGAGCTGTGTCGAACAGTGAGCTGGATCTCACCCAGGGGGTATTGGCCAGGAGCCGAGCCGCTATAAACGCACCATAGTCAGAATCACTTTCACACAGATTGTATACGCACATAGATAGATTGGTTACAGAACATTTTTATGCAAATTCCTCGCATCTTACTTCTGCAGCTGATGGAGTCTTTGTTGAAGCTCCAGGGTGGCGATAGGCAGTGAGATATCCGACGCCAGGCTGGGGGTGCTCTCCTTGTGAGGCAGGTATTTCTGAGAGCTAGAAATAGTGGTGCTCAAGTTAGGTGTGCTGCGGCGAGGGCTGGCAGAGTATGGCTCGCCGTCAGGGTCCTGGAGAGTGAGAGTGGAGGCGCGTACGGGCTTTGGAGGTGTGGCAGAAAGCAGCTGTGACTCTGAGTAGGACAGACTCAGGGAGGGGGCCAGGGCTGTCTGGGGAACACTGGATTTTCTGACCTGCACCGCAGAGGGCAGGTCTGAAGATATCTGTTTTTCCAGTGAAAGGATCTAAGGAGACAGGAAATCAATAGTGGGCTTAAAGAACCATAACAGATTTAGTGTTGAGCTATCTCAATGGAGCAAGTGAAAGTCTAGGAAAGCCATAAATGGAGATAAAATACTGCCAGTCTAGAATGACGCAGTTTTAAACTGCCGTCTGTCTCTACAAAAACACTATTATTCAGAAGTTATTCCAACTTGTGTTTCAGCTGAAACACCTTATTATGAAACCCATCTATATGTTAATGTGGATGTATTATTCTTTTTAATCTGATCAGTGGTGACTCAGAACAAGATAATTCTCTTAGCTTTCAGCCACATAAAGAACAATAACATGATTCCGGACAATAACCGTCTGAAATATCCACATTTTTAAACATTTAAAGAGGTAACATATATGATCCCTTACAGATTTCTTCCCCTTTACTTTCTTTAGATTTTAAATCATACTAGGATGTTTATGGCTATGAGCAAGTCTTACAGTTTTTTTCTCTGTCGGCCTGGCTCATGTCTTGACACAGAAATTCAAATAACATGAACAAACCTGTTGGAAACTGTTCTCTTTCACTTTGTGACATTTCCAATGTCTTTGTACATGCTTCAATGTACAAGGTACATGTAGGCAAATGATTTAGTTCATGTAGGCAGAATACCCTACCAGAATAAAGTAATAAAAACATTCCATGATGAGAAAATCACCACATTTAGTCAATTTGTTACCTTCAGAAAAGTTTAATCCTTATAGCTAATGCTAACTGTCTTGCTAATTACTAGTGTTGCACTGATACTGATACCAGTATAGGTCGGGGCCCCAAGCCAGCACTAAAATGGTGGTATCGGTATCGACGAGTACCAACAAATATGTCACCAATACCATTTTGAGAGCCAAAAGTTTATTCAACTATTGTCACCAATTCCAGGTAGGCAATAAAAAGTTCTACTGGATTCACTTTGTATTAGTCTTTTTCCTGCTTCACAAAGGTAGGCAGCAGCTTGACAAAACCATGATGGCAATTATTTTACATCCAACTAGTATGCAGTTCTTCAAATATACACAGACACATCAATTTCAAACCAATGTTATCAGTATGGTCTCAGTATCGGCCGATGTTGCACCTAGCTTCCACTAATATTTCTGGTTTGTGAGGATTCTTTTCAGCCATTGATGCTCCAGTTTACACAAAAGAGTGAACAAATAGCTAAAAAAAAAAATGCTGCAGCAGCAAACAGCAGTAGGGCTACTTCATTGGGCTTCGATGAAATGGCGGACGGCCAGCCAAACAGCGCATGTGTTAAGCTTGAAGCCTATGTAAAAAACGTCATGGCAGCAAGTACACCACTTTCTGCAGTAGGCAAAATGGATTGGCTAATATTTTGTAGGCCCCAGCACGGCCAGAGTTTATGGATTTTTGGGGCGGGGGGGCCATAAATGCAAGAATGCCATTCATCAATAAAGTCATTTTAGATTAATCTAGACACTTCATTTCTGAGAAAAATCCTCTTTATTACCTTTAAGTAGAAATGTTGGCGATCTATACAAGAGTAATTATTTTTCTGAGAACTTTTTAACTCTACTCCTTACAGTTTTTTGCAATTATCTCTACTTTCTACTCCTTACCTAAAAAATAAAAGAGTTGTTAGTTTTTTCACATTTAAGCTCATTTCCAGTACTTAGAAAAAAAAGGAAATCTCAAAATAATTTGTTTCATCGAGACAATTAATTGTTTGTGATTGGAATTGGTACTGCACCGACTTGTTATTTGCCACCTACCAAACTAAATAAATTTTTAAGATGATACAGTTAGATTTTGCACCATTCACACGACTTGTGTATTGGGCATGTCGTGGGCATTTCATCTGATGACATCACTATACAACATGCCCACGAAAGACACGCCTTTGTCTGCAGGCTGCAGACAGAAAAACTTACAGGATGGTAGACAGGGGGTCAATTTTAGAGACCAGGAGGATGACGCTGCTGTTCACGAGGATGATGTTAAGGGACCAGTTTTTGATGTCAACAGTAGCCTATGCTTTCTGTGGCTTTGAAGTTGAAGAACATTATGCCCCGCAAACTCTCATTTGCGGGGCATAATGTTTTTTTTTTTTTTTCAAGAAACTTCTTTTTTAATTTTGAACAAGCTGGGTTTTTTTTAAGGGCTTTTTTTCCCTCAAAAGACTTGTTTTGGACAAACTTAGCTCCATATTAGTTTCTAAAACCATTTTTCTTTTTTTTTTAACCATCTTAAGGTGGATTTGCGTAACTATTTTACAGGTTATATTAAAGGTATAGTGGATCATCAAAATAAATGGTGCTCCTAATTGTCAATCATTTTGGTGATATGCTTACATAAGGCTGTCCTACGTGTTCGTCCCCATTTTCACTTACCGGTGGTGAGTTCAACATAGTGGAAAAATTGCAAATCTTCTTTTGGAAAGCATGATTGTATGAGTGATCCAAACAGCAACTATTAAACAGAGCGTGTACGAGGAGAAATTGGCTTGTGCATGCGCTTGCACACGTTTAATGGGCGTTCCCTGAGAGCGGGTAAAGGGTTGTGTATTTGCATTTTTTTTTTTCTTTTTTTAAGTGGGGAGGGCAGGTCTTTTAAAAATTCCCGAAAATCCTCCACTGTACCTTTAAGTAACTGATAAAACTTCCTTCTCCATTAGTAACTGTTTGGTAGAGAGCAGCAATTATTGCCGCTTTAATTTATTTTTTTTTAATTTTGAAACAGCAAAGAACCTCCATACCACCATAAGTTTATCCCTGCTATCATATTTGACTGTAGGTATGATTTTCATGGTAGATCATACAAGAAGGACATTGGGTTTCATCAAATCTACTGACAAAAGTCTCTTTCTTAGTGTTAATGATAACCTCAAATGTAGCCAATAGTTCTGAGTGCTTGTCTGACCTTCACCGATGCTCTCCTTGAGTAATTTTGGAAGTGCAGGATAATAACTCTTATTGGTTCGCTGTTGCCTTACAAATGTTTTGGTTACAATTTCTGTACTCATAGATGACAGTGACTTTTTCTCCCCTCTTTCCTGAACTTCTTTCATTCCTGATGCAGTAAGAAATCTCAGTCAGGGGGAGGCAATTGAAACTGACACTAGAAACAGTTCCCCCCCCCCCCCCCCCCCCCCCCCCCCCCCAGCTGATTCATGATTCAAGGTGGGAGGGAAATCTTTTTTTTAACTAACTGACAGCTTTAAAATCTCAGGTTATGTTTGTATGATATATATAAAAAAGGGCGATTATCTTAAAAATGTGCATTTTAAGGAAAGAGAAAAAGGATGAGACATCTGTAAGGGGGCACATACTCTTCACAATCACATTATGCATAGATATAAATATAGTGTAGGAGCAAGCTTGATACTTCTGATGTTTAAAAGCAGAGTCTATGCCAGGAAACCAATAAACCTCAATTAATTTAACTAATTTGATAAAAGGTGTCTGTAAGAATTATGCCATTGGATAGAAGTGGAGAGAGATTTACATGGTTGAGTATGCTGGCATAACAAAAAGCCCCACATACAACAGATTGACATATTATCTACAACTGGTTTGTTTTTAAAAATCCCTAAAATAGGATATTGCCTGACTTCAATCTACAATTCAAAGCCCAAGATTTCTTACTAAAAAGTGTCTGCTGCTTTTGTGCAGACAGCTACAAAAAAAAGAATTATGCAAAAAAAGACAATGAAACAAATTAGCGGAAAAGATTATTAATGACGAGCTATAAAACACATGCATTACCATGATGTTTGAAACATTTTGCTATTATGAACCGAACGCTTAAGGTGGGAGTTTAAAAAGGAACCAGCTGAGAACAGAAAGGTTATCACATAAAACTCTTGGCTCCCCCAAAAAACCCTAAAAAGCAAAACAAATTTGACATTTATGCTGTTATAAAGGAAATTAATAACGTGTGAATAATCTAGCAACACAGAAGCTGTGAGTCTGTTTTTACCCTCAAGGCCATCTTTAATTTGATGGTAGAACTTGGTCCAGAGTTCTTCAGAGAAAAGCACTGCGCCAGCGTCATGTCCTCCTCCGACAGAAGCCTACTCAAAGGCACGCGCAAAATACCCAGTGTGCATTTGTGCTTATCATCCTTTACCTACAATTTAATAAAAAGGGGGATTTAAGTATCTTATATACCTTATTTTAGAAAAAAAAATCACAAAAACAGTTTTTCTTTACAAACTCTTTTAAATGTATTTCTAATACCTCAATTTCCAGCTCTTGCCTTCTGGGATTGTGGACGAGAAAAGAGAAGCAATCCTCCCATAAAGGCTCTCTAGTCTTGTACCGGACCTTGAAAAAGGAAAATAAGGTGCATTTAATAAGGGTTATCATCAAAAAGCTCTTTTTTCAGTAATTGGAATTAAATAACAATTTTTATTTTTTATTTTATTTTATATACTCTAATAATCACAGAGGGAAATTACTTCTCTGCATTTAACCCATCCCCTTGGGGAGCAGTGGGTGGCCATTGTGCAGCGCCCAGGGAGAAAGGTGGGGTTAAGGGTCTTGCTCAGGGACCCAGAATGTGGGAGTGGGGGACTGAAATCACAAACTCAGGATTCAAAGCCCTATGCTGTAATTTACTCATTGTTCACAGAATGATCATTTCAAATAGTTGAATTTCTGTTTATTTTCAGGCTTAACTTTAATTCATTCCCAACATAACCCCACCTGCTAGCTGGGGTCTCAAGGTTCACAACACTGCTCTTTATTTATTCACTGGATTGCTGTTAGACCGAAAAAAATTCTAGTCTCCTGTACCAACTTGGTACTCCATTGAATCACCATAAAAATGCCTGTAATGTAATGTAATTACCCTAAAAATGTAAACAATGCAGGTATATTACATTTACATCACCAGTTTAGCACTTTTGGCACATCATCAGATAGTGGTTGTGGGGGTGTGCATATTTAATATTCTTACAATCTGACTACAGTATTATTATGCTCCATTAATGCACTAATTCTGTTGTGATGGATTTGTTTGATGTTTTTACATGATTTATAGACTTCACTGACTTCATACTGTATATGCAATATGATGTGCCTATTTTTTTTACCATAAACTACAATAGTCTACAGATGCTATGAGGCAGCAAGTCTGTGTCAGAGTGATAACTTTATCTTTATTTTAAAAGTCCTAACCCCCGCTGAAAATGAGAACATCATCATTGTTTGATACTTTAGTGCACCTATTGTTTACATTCTGACCAGTCTAAATTGGGAGTAGCAATATGGCAGCTGGTGATTTACTGCACCCTGTACTACCAACGGACTATCAGCAATCCAGTGAATAAATAGAGATCATGGGTTCACAAACACACAGGACTCCATCTTGTACGACTCCCATTTCAACTATTTAGGACCGACCAAAAACGGGTTGGCCATCACATTGTAATATTGTTGCGGGACATATAGCTCTGAGGAAAGCTGTGATGTTTTGAGCTCATAGTCAAACCTAAAAAAACATGGAAACGCATGAGGACGCACTGCTGTTACTGCATCCTTTAGAGGCAATTCAGTAGTTCACCTTAAAAAGGCGCTCAGAGTGGAACAAGCATAACTCATGGTTCCTTATGGCCTCTGATGCTTAAGATATTTTTACATCTTACCCGGATTGGCTAAAACCAAACTTAGCTACTGTAAACAAGCACTGGATGTTATTTCACGCAATCACCTTGTTATTTCTGCTGAATCTTCCTGCATACAGATAAATTTTGTACACACATGTGTAAACAAAAAGAAATTTAGTTAAGTACAGCTCTCTGGACTATTTCATTCTTTGAAAGTGCAGGTAAGCACTGCATTTCAATAAGATCAGGAAAATAACCAAAAAATTGAAAAGTGATAACCAGGAGGAAAGGAGAGGCTACATCAGCATAGCTTTTAACAGGTAGGGAAAATTCAAGAGAAGGATGCAAACTGTAAAGAAGCAGGCCGTTAGGGTCACGAGGGGTGCTGGTGCCTATCTCCAGCTGTCTAAGGGCGAGAGACAGGGTTCACCCTGGACAAGTCACAAGTCTATCGCAGGGCAACACAGAGACAAACAACCATGCACACACACATTCACACCTAAGGACAATTAAAAAAAAGCATGTGAACCTAACAGTCATGTTTTTGGACTGTTGGAGGAAACCAGAGTATCCGAAGAGAACCCATGCGTACTCAGGAAGAACATGCAAACTCAATGCAGAAAGACCCCGGGCTGGGAATCGAACCAGGAACCTTCTTGCTGTCATATTTGTTGATGTAAGACTTGGCTTCAATTGTGTAACCAACCCTACCCAGTGTGTCACTGAGCACCCACTCTCAGAATCCATTATTTCAAATGAACTGTTATCAAAATAAGAGAACTTAAAGCTCTGTGTGTAATTATTCCTTTTTTAATTGTTAGTTTTATTTAGTTATTACAAACATATAATTTGTGTGGATAATCAAAAACACATCCATGCCATTACTGCAGCACCATTAACTGTGTCATAATTGAACACTTTTCCTCTTATTCCACCAACCTTAAGAGTTTTAAATGCATTTATTCATTTTGCTCGGATTCCTTCTAAGTTTTATGAAAAGGAGTGGCTTGTCCTTCAGTAGAAAGGGTTTTTAATAAATTACAGAGGATCTGTAAGTGTTTCAGTCCTTGAATCACATCAATATTGAATAAATAACGTATAACTAAATATAGCACATTGCAGGAAATGTGACAAGTATACTTCTTCCTCTTGGCAAAACCAGGTAAAATTGTCAGAGTGAGCTGGCAAGAAATATATCAGTCATAAGGTCAAATGTATAACTATTTGCTGGTTTAGGAAAAATATATTTGCCTGTCTGTTGGTCTAGTCAAACTTTTAAAGACAAATCGGTAAAATAGCAGTAGAGTTCTAAAAAATGTATGAATTCCATCATTTTATTATTATGGCTTGTTTTTATTTTAATACTCACCTTACTCTCCAGAGTTTTATGTCCAACTGTGAACTGAACATAAGGACTGGGTTCACTGCTGTTTTTCTTGGCTGACTATTGGACAACCACAAAGAGAAAGAGAGGCGTTAAGTAACTGCCAACACAGTGAAACACAATTCAGTGACGGGAAGCACAATCACAGTACATGTTGGAGAACACGATTAGCACACCACCCAGAGGGAGTCTGCAGTTCAAACAGGAGGAAAGATGATCAGCCTGGTAGGGCTGCAGGCAGACAGGACACTGAGAGGCCTTTGTCTCATCTACAGGTTAATTTAGCATGATGACTTTGGATACCTGGGAATGAATCAGTATTCCTTAAATGAGAATAATAGCGTTATTATAAAAGCTCTGATGAAACATAAATAGAGGAAGTCTTTCATTTCTCACTTGCATAACATTAGGTTTCATCATTCATGTTCATGCTCATCAAAGAAACATTTTACTATGCAGGGGTAAACAAAATAATATAAAACGCAATCTAATGTAAGATCCATCAATGTGGTTTATATTCAATGGTTTCTGTAGCAGTAAAAAATGATCTGACTACAATTCCCTAGTTTTTAAATTGTTCCTGGATTAAAGGGAAAATATAGAAATAAATATAGACATTAAATTACTTTACAATTTAAACTAGCAGGGATGTCAAGATGGAATATTCTCACAATAGAAGGACCAATGATATACTGCACTCTCTGATATATTGTCACCTCTCACAATGATGTGAATTAAGTCAAACCTACAATTTGAAGGTGACCAGAGGGCATAATTAGTGACATCCTGTGTTACTGGCAGAAAAATATGATACGACACAGATGCATATTTCTCTCAGCCTTTGGGAGGAACATTTCTATTGACTAAGAAATTCATAACTTTATAATGTTGTTGGCAAGAGAACTTGATTTTGTCACATTGTCGTCTTCAGGTGAAATTTGCAATCCACTGGAGGCGCTCTCTGCCATATTGCTTCTATTTTACGCTGCTCTCTCTGGGCAGGGGGGGTCTAAGCCCTGGGTGGCAGCATGGATTGAAGCACACAGACTCTCAGCTAAGAAAACAGAAGAATGGTGAGTGATGTCACATATTTCATCTAAAAAGATACTCTCAGTTTTTCACATTTCTATTATTAAGTTCTCCTTATCTAAAATAATGACTTTTTGCTCCTTCAAAGCCAAGCCTTAATGATGATTTTTATACCTTCTTACCTCTGGCACAATCAAAGGTTGATGGGTGCAACCATTTGAGGAATAATTATAGACTCAAAACTTCTTGGAGATAATAAAGAAGCAGTATTAAAAATGTGCAATAGTTGATTTCTGAGCAAGGAAATTGAACACGTTTTTTTTTTGTGTGTTTTCAATACATGTTAAGTCTTTCTACCTGTTTCTGGAGGTGGTGGGTCATAGCTTTGTGAGCGTGTCAACAAACAGGCCTCTTTCCAAATCAAATGACTGGTAAATAACAGGTCACTCAGACTTCCAAAGGAAAATTACATCACTAAGTAGGAAAACTACAAAATGCCAACCAACAGGCTTGACAATCTCATTTCCAATACAGATTGCAATGTTATCAGTTACCTCATTGGCAAACAAACAAGCATTTATGCTGCTCTGTTGTCTGCTTGTTCTGCAGGTTTAATGAGACTTAAAGCTCAAGTTAACAGAAAAGTACAAGAATTTTGGACTTAGAGAGGCAAAGGAGTGCAAAAAAAAAAATTTACTTTGGGTTTTTTCTTTAAAAATAAAAAAAAAATTTCATAAAACATTCACATGCAAGATGAGAGTTGGGAAATGTGAAATCAGATTTGACATTAAGGGAGCCACAGGGAAAAGCATTAACAGGCAATAGCACTGTCATGCACAGTTTCACTTTTATTGCACCTTAACAATCATCACAATCACTCGACAGTGGGTGGCAAAGTTGTGAGCCAGCAGTGCAGTGACAGGGTGTGATCTCAACATGCAGACCATTCTTCCCACATTACCTTCAGGGCCTTAAACACTGAGACTTGCTTCAAACCATCATAGGTGATATCTGACAGGTTGCTCTTTAAGCCATATGGAGATTTGAGGGAGAAAAATCACACCCTTGGTTAGTTGGAATGAGTCAGCATGGTCACGGGGAACAAGAGAAACCCAGAGCATTAAAGGTGCAATCTAAATAAATTGGAGAGTTAAAGGGGAATTAGTACAGAGAAATATATTCCAGGTGCTTCTTTGACCTATTAGATTATAATGGCTTACAACTAATGAAAACTCAAAATAAACTTAATTTTAAAATTTAACAAAATACTTTTGTAGACATATTACTGTACTATGACCTAAATTCATCCAATAATTATTATTATCAGCAACACAATGTCAGTACTAAATATGCTATTTTTTATTTCATTTATGTTTTTATGTATATGCAATTGTATATAATTGTATATGCAATTTATTAACAAAGCGCTGCATTCAAGCACTTGTCCCTTCCACTCAATTTTCCATAGCAAGTGGAGTTAAAGGAAAAAATATGGTAAAAAAAAAAAAAAAAAGGCATAAAACCAACAGGGTTAAATACACCTTGAGGATTGTGGGGGAAAAAAGACAGTTTAAAAGCCTGAGATAGTTTTGATGACATTAATGACCATTCACATTCTGCTAGAACATGGTTGAGCTGTATTTAACCATACATATGGAAAGTTAAGTTGCAGGATAAACTCTTGAAAGGACTATGACAAAAAGTTCACTTAAGAGTTTGAGTCCTGGCTCAAGTCGCGCTTTAATCCATGTTATGGTCTACAAAATCAAAATGGGATGCTAGATGACAGTTATCCAGCTGGCATTCAGTTCTACCCTCCGTAACAGTTTAAAAGAGAAACAAAAAGGAAACATGCATGAGCCTATGTTTCAAAGAGCGACAAACAGTCATAGCAGGGACAAAAACTAGATCTGCACGGTGCAATAGCATACTTTTCAGCCAGACACCATTTTTGGGTTAAAAATATATTTTTTATTGGCCTTTATATATTATAACTGTTTGAGTTGTTACTTGTCATAAAGCATAATTCAAATGAGAAGAAATAAATCCTCTTTGTGCACCAAATTTATACAGCATACAAATTTTACTTTTACTAGTTTTATGCTTTACTAGTAGTTTTTTAGTATAGTTCTTACTAGTTTTTTTCCTTTTACTCCAGTTTATACAAATACTTTTGATATAATCAGATTTTTTATAAATGATATTTTGAAAGGAAATCAGTTGTGATATATGTGCATAAAATGGAGGTTTAGAACGGATCCTTCTGACATTGCTGAATTCTAACAATGACATATTAATGAAAGTACTACCCAAAGTAAAGCCCAGGAGGAGCTTTTTTTTTTAAAAAAAAAAAGGCTTTTTGTACCTGAAAATTCATCTCCACATGAGCACTGAGAGATCATTAGAAACCCTGCCAGCAGTATTTGTGCTGAAGCTATCTCCTGTGGCACAACACAACCAGAATGTAATAAAGAAGAAAATAGAGGTCCTTTAGAATATTTTTCATGTTAATGGATACTGATTTCTTTTTAGCTTGAAGCTAACACATGCTTTGGGTTAAAGGTTTTAAAGAGATCATGTTGTTACTCAAACCATGTCATCACACTGTGCTAATGCACATTACAAAGATGCAGAAGCATCAGAGGACTCACGAAATTTGCACTACACTCAGATGTATCGCCCTCACAAAAGATTAAGCCAGAAGCTCTCCTCTCACTTAAGTTTCCACAGCCTAAGCTGCCTGTGAAGACACCCTTGGGTGAAGAGGAAGGAGAATAAAGGTAAAACAGTTAAATAGTTCAATTCAATTCTGTATTTTTGACAAAATTACATAAACCCATTTGGTTAAGAAAATCAAGGACTAAACGTGGGTTTTATTGTTTGAGCGCTGCAGAAAAACTCAGGAGATGCATTTTATCACGACAAGCTTTATATAATCGTGGTTCTCATTTAACAATGAGTGCTACAGCATTTATTAGGCTGAGTCCTTGAGGTGAAAAGGCCAAAAACAGAACTTTTTTCATCTAAATTGAATTCCTTATGAGTCTCTTGCAAACTAGTCATACTCATTGATTATGTTCCCCAGTTTGTTGAATAAAGTCCCCATGAATAAAATGTTACACATAGCTCTACGAAAGGGTATTTTTTAAAAAACCTCTCTTTTTGCACAAAATCTGGATTGCATTTATTTTGAGCCTAAAAAACACTATAATACCCAAAACGTTTTACTTTGAAATAACCTTGAAAATTGTAATTTTCTTTCTACTTCACTATTATGCATTAGCTGTTTTGGTCCTATGTATAAAATCCAAGATAATTAAAACATACCATGTTAAGATTGTAACAAAGCAATAAACATTAATGGAAAAAACCTAAATGTGCATAGGAGAGTTTCGAATTTAAATAATTTGTCCTGTGTAGTGCAGTCCTGTTTCTCTGTGATTAGCTGTATATGCTCTCTTTCAGCCTCTGACATGGAAGCTGGCCTGGAGCTTGTCTGCCTGGTTGTGCGTTTCCTGGACGGGGCCACCTGGGGAGCTGGTTGACATTTGCCTTTTGTATCTCTGCTTCTTTTTCTGTCTGTTTGTCTCCTTGAATCCCAGTCAGCCTCGACAGATGGCCGCTCACACTGAGCCTGGTTCTGCTGGAGGTTTCTTCCTGCTAAAAGGAAGTTTTCCTCTCCACTGTCTCTACAAGCATGCTTGGTTTGAGGGATATCTTTCTAGTCAATGAGTCGATGCAATCAACTGGTTTTCCTTAGATAGAAACCTTTAACATTTTGCTAAAGGATTTGAATGTACGTCTACTTTCCAAGGTCTTGAAAATCAAATAAAAAAACTCACAGAGAATAAATGAGGGTGCCATTGTGTAACAGTAGTGATCAAAGAAGTAATGGATATGTGGACAAGCATTATCCCAGCTTTACACAAACAAGGGCTTAGTGTTGATAAAGGCAGCAAATCTGCTTCAACAGTGAAAAACAGAAGCCCGCTCAAGAGAAAAACATAATCACATACTGTTTAAGTGAAACTTTTTTATTACTAGCATTAAAAGAGAAAATGTTTCAGCGTCTTACTGGCAGGTTCTTAGCTGAGTCTAGAAAGACCACCAGGAGAGCTGACGAGAGTCCATCTTTTGTTGGGCTTCTGTCTGCACGCACACATCTTAAAACCTAAAAGAAAACAGGAGTGTGCATCTACATGATATAAATCAGTAAATACAAAAACAACAGCAATTATTGATTACTTTAGCATTACCTGATCCAGCTTATCAGAAGTGGAGAACAGAGACAGCCACTCTAGTTTTAAGTGCAGTTTGCCAGTAGGTGCTTCTTCCAGTTCAAACCACTAAAAGGACAACCAAAAGAAAACTTTTTTTTTTTTTTGGTGAATGCACAAAGTAAATGATTAATTTTGTCATGTAAGGAATTATCTATTTAAAGGGACACCTGAACACTTACACAATTGTTTGGTGGGTACTAGTTTAATGAAAACAAAAAAAACTTGTACATTGTTTTATAACCACATTATGATTACATTTTTTCCCTTATTTTAAATCAGATTTATACATCCGGCCTTTTACTACTACTATAATAGAAAATGAGAAATCAAGAAAATTAGGCAAATTAATGAGATTTATCTATTGGAGTTAAAGTTGTAGGGAAGCAAAAAAATTTGATTGACAGATGACCGTTGATATATGATCGGCCGAATTTAGGTGTACAAGCTGACATATAACTAACTGGCCTGCATACAATAACGGGGAAAAAGATAGGATATTTTTTTTTTAGATACAAATTTTCAAACTTTTGCGAAAGTATCATCTAATAAAGAGTACATTAATATACGTTTAAGCCAGAATGATTTGAAATTTAAATATGACTTCCCTACGACTTTAAATACAATTCCCTACGTATTACTAAAAGATCAGGCTATACTACAATGAAAAAAAACGATAAAACGTCAGAGCACTAAAACACTGAATGAAAGAAGATGTAGAAGTATTTTTGAAGTACTGTGTGTTAGATTAGTTTAACATGACAAGAACCTTTAGAAGTAAGGATTTACAGCTTTTTTATTGGTGTCACTATGCACAAAAGACAGGCATATTGGATTTACAACATAACTCAGAAGTTCTCAATACCAACTTCCTAGTATGGATTAATGTTAGCATAGCCAGCTAGCATAAATACTAAGTCACAGAATTAGATGACCACTGAAGTTTCTGTTTTTCTTCCTCCATTACATTAAATGTCTTTTTTTTCTCGCCAGAGGTGACACCAGCAAGAAAAAGCCATGAGTTGGAGAAAAAGTGTGAATTGATGCTTTTAGCACTACCTATTTTGTCAGGTTTAAAAGAAACTGTGAAAAACAGCTGTAGACATAGACTAAATGTGTTTATCAGTGGTTAAAATCTATCTTTTCTGTCAGATTTGGGGCGGCTGATTTATCCTGTTTCTGGTTTTGACCTAAGCTATGCGGTCCAGCATCAACCCAACATCATTTCTTTCTCCTGCAGGGGCAGCAGACAATGCATCTTTTAGCTTGATAAAGAGTGGAACATTTATCTCACCTCATCGACCTTTTGCTCATTGTACACCTTGGTCAAATCAATTAGGAGGCTGCAAATAATTAGAAGTAAGCAGTGAAAATTCAAAGCAGAAAACAGTTACGAAAAACAACAACAGGCCAATTAATTATAATACAGGGGAGAGATATAGATTTGCTGCCAAGTGTTATAGGACAAAGTGTAGAGTTATGGCCTTGGTCCAATTAATCTATAATATTCAGTCTTAAAACAATAGCTGGGAATAATCATTCTGGTTCATTAAGATTAAGCTGCAAAAGAACAAATATTAAGGAATAGCTACATTATTAGACATTTACTTTATATTCTATCCCCAAGCTGAACAGAGGAAGTGCATTAAATCATGTTCTGCTTTGAAAAGGTGTTATAAAGACACAGCAGGAGAGGAAAAGGGAAGCTAACCTTCCTAAGAAGTCATCTTTGTCTGGATCTTCATCAAACAGCTCGATTTCCAGATGTTGACCAGAGGGCTCATACACAAGAGCCTTAAGGAAAAGAAACACGAAGAGGCTTATTTAGAGAGCTTGGTAAATAGAGGAAACTAATGATGTGAAAAAAAAAACAATCACAATTCTCTTTCCTTTAATTATTAGATTAAAAAAGGCCTCTATTTTGATATGTCAATATCATCACCTCATAAACCTCATTCCACTTGGGATGGAGGCTCTCCTTTATCGTCTTGCTATGGAACATTTGATTGCTGACATGCAGGATGCCATAAGGGTCCGACTTTCCTTTGATAAGTCCTCCCAGAAATTGATCCTTCCCTTCCAGATCCTGAGCCTCGAGGAAGTGAATCCTGAGAACTCCCTGTGGTGATATGCAGAGCAGAAAGATAAATGGTGTAACTGGTCATTCAAGTCTGGAGAGTTACTTAAAAACATTAGTTTCAATGTTTCAATGTGGAGAGAGACACATTCTTGAAAAAGTTCAGAGTACACAGGTTATCTGAACTGCAAGATGCACAAATTGGGAACAAATATGAGAAAATGTTAATCCAACACAAACATTAATAAGGTGCAAACTCTAAAGGTATTTTGAAAAAGTAATATTATGAAACTTGAGGTGTTTGTCTTTTGACAAAATGAACAGTCCAGACAGTGTTCATGGATGCTGGGAGAACGAGAGACAATGAAATTAAATCCTAATTGAAGCAAGTTAAAAGTGATATAAAGTCAGCTTTGATGATGGTTGTATAATTATCTGACAGGAAACTATTTTTTTCTATTTAAATAGAAAGAACTGTTTATAACTAAGCACAACCAGCAGTTAAAAATCCAGTTTGGTAAAAAGACAAATTCAAATAATCTTGAAATAATTAGCAGACCATTTATGCAACTGAAAAGTGGTTTACTTTCAACACTTTATAATGTCTTATCTCCTTAATTTGGGCGCAGGCAACACATAGTCACACTGCTGCTGTACACATCATTTCAGATCATAACTGACATGGATGTATATTGGAAAAAAGAAATCATAACAAAAAATATAATAAATTCATGTTTTGTACTATTTTATACATCATCTCTTAAATGTTAAAATTGTAATAATTTATTAATTTTATTATTCTCTGATGCCACATCGACACCTCTTTGTAGTATTTCATACAATGCAAACAAGTATTATATGCAGCCTAAACTATCAAATCCAACACTGATTCTGCAAAACAAATACCACTGCAGAGAACTAATCATAATTTCTAAACTGGCTGCACCTTGTAAAACCTTTAGTTGGAAAATGTTGGCATTTTCTTCATTATTTATATAAGGTGTTTCATTTAGTTAGTCATTAAGGCTCAAAGAACATAGATTTCAATCAAAAGTGTGAATAAAGGCGACTTAGTCCAGTGAAATGACAGATATAATTATAAAAGGACTTGGGGAGCACAGACTTCTACCAAACAGCAAAATTTGCCCCCAATTGTGACTTGCACTTATGCAAAAACTCACAGATGATCAGGATCATCAAAATATTTTTAATTAATCGCTCCTTAGCATGAGGAACACCTCTGATAAAAAAAAATCCGTAAAATACATTTGTACGTTTTCAAATTATCCTGCTAACAAACCAACAACATTCCCTTTCCTTATGTTTTTGTCTTCAGTAAAATACCTCCGGACTTTTGAGTCTGATGCCGAGGCTGTCATTAGTCACTGCTGCCACCCTCTGGGTTAGTGGTGAACTGCTTGTTCCACCAAATATTCCTATCCCACAATGTTAGAGAATCTTTAAAAAATCTCTGTATCCAGATTATGATCTAGATCATAACCAAAAGATGTCATTAAAATCACTCCATAACCTTTCAAGTTATCCTGTATACAGACAGACAGACAGACAGACAGACAGACAGACAGACAGACACACAACATCTCTTAAAAACACAAGCTTCTTGGCGGAGGTAAATACAGAGACTTGCTTCAGTACCTTGGGCATTGGAAAGCGAAGCTTAGCCAGGTCCTCGTCTCCAACCAGAGGGATTGTTATTCGATTGGGCAAAACCACATAACTGTAGATTATGTCTTGAATCAGATTGTTGGAGAAGCCGCTGCAGGGACAATAAGATGGGTGGAGATGTAAGAATGTAGGATAAGGGAAACACACGGAAACCAATTATTGCATTAAGAGTACACTATGGGTATATTCACTTTCATTCTTTTATGCTATAAAGGAATAGGGCCAGGAATTTTGAGCTGATGCATCTAGATTACATAATATTTCAGAGATGTGGGATGACAAGGAAGGAAGTGAAAAAATAAAATTACCCACTGTCATTCTTTTATCAAGCTAGCTTTAAGGGGCATACTGGAAAATTACAATAACTGCTAGAGAAATGTAATTAGAATGAACTTTCATTAAGCTGTCAGGCCTTTCCCCTATGATAGATTGCTGTGATTATGGAGGAAGTGTCAATATAACACGATGTGTCTATTTTGATTAAAGAATTATTTCTTCAGATACCAATCAGTTGTAATTCTGAGAGGGCCTCTTAAGTGATTCATCAATCAGTCAAACAGAGAAAATACAATATGGGCTTCAAGAAATGTGACCAGGCTGCAAGCAGGACATAACATCTAGTCAGAAAGAACCTAATGAGTCCATTCCCTTTGATTCGCACTTATACAGTGATATGATAGAGTGCCACAGCATGAAAACAGACTGCATGTAATTTGTGACGTAAATCTGTAAAAAGATGAATCATTGGTGTCTTGCTGAATAACACCCAAGGTTATTGTTCTGTCTGTTTAAATCATGAAAATCTGATGACCCTGATCAGCCAGGACTGATGTACGGGTTCAAAATTCAAATAACATCCAGGATTTACAGTATATAAACACCTTAAAAGGAAGTCAGATCAAATAATTAAATAAAATTAGCAAATAACCAAATGAACAGGTGTCCAAAATAGAAAAAATTGATAGCAAGAAATTTTAACCAAAGTTTAATAAAAATGTACCAAAATACTGGTGCAACTCAAAGTATGACAGGGAATTTATCAAAGCACTTTAAATTTAAAAAAGTGATTATTGCTTATTATGCTTATTCATTATAAAATTAGAGATTTTTTGTCATTATGTCTGTCCATTTTAAATCATTATAGGCTAACATTGAATGAAACCCCAAATCTAAAATAAACATATAAATAGAGAGAATAGTTAATGACACGTTAAGAAGGATTAGCCACCAAAGGGCAACTCTGAACGGTTAGAAACTGCATTAAAAACTGCTGAGTGGAAGAAAAAAGTTTTGAAATTGGGGGACCTTTACAAGATGTTTACTGTCCGTGCTTCAAGAGCCAACACATTCAACAACTCAAGGACATGGGCTAAAACTGTCCAATTTATTTTCCTAAAGAAGCATAGTCATGTTACATGCACAAAAGAAACATTTGATTATGATAAAATAAAATAAGGTTATATACAGTAAGCATTGATTCTGTTATTAGTTTGTTAATATTTTCTGAGCCTAAATAGAATTGTAGCAAAGGAACAATGAGCAGACATAAACAGACTGGCACTGTCAGTAGTATAGTGGAATTTATCAGAAAGCCAGATGGTGACTATTGATGCAGCTTTTAATAGAGCCTGACCTAACATGACCATCCTACAATTCCTGCTGGTGTAATAATGGCTCAGGGTGGTGAAGACACATCAATATTGATCAAATAACCTAATCTGGCAACTCTAATTTCTAGTGAATTTTCCTCAAAGCTTCGTATCAGAACATTAAGGGAAAAGAAATACAATTCCCACTCCTAAAATACACAGAAAGGGACACAGCATTAAAATGCTTGCACTGTTAATGAGGTTTGAATTGAATCTGAAAGCGACAGAAAAACTAATTAACACTGGATCTTGGACCTAATTATTTTCACAACCCTGCTGGTGTTAGCCCTAAACTTCCTCATTGAGCCCCACCGTTGCTTTTGGAGACATAAACAAAGGGCTTAATCTACTTATAAATTAGGCAAAAACTGTATAAAATGCTAAAATAACAAACAACATTCCAACACAATGGGGTAATTTTTCAGGAAACTTTGTAGGCAAGTGGAGTGATCTACAAGCACACACATTTAAAAAATGTCAAATGATTGCATTATGCCCTTACGGCAATCCTGACTCACATCATGGGCTATCTGCCTCTATGCCATGCAGCATTAGGTCCATGTACTGAAGAGCTAATGGTCTTACTTTTAGGTAATTATTTATATATGGTTATATATATTTTATACAATATTCTCAATCTTCTAAGAAACCTAGATTTAGGTTTTCATTAGCTGAAGGCTTTAATCGTTAAAATTAACATAAAACAATACATAATTCATTTCAAAACTGCTTGACTTTCTTTTAAATTAAAATACTGTACTGAATGAGGACTTAAATAAGTTTATAATCCCTTTGGCTGAACCTTTATTTATTTGCATGTTAAATCAAAGAATACATATTTAAAACAAAATACTGTTGATGAGGGACATAACATAACATTTCATAACATTTTCTGCAGCGACCAGCAACTTTCCAAAACCTCCAATGCCAGTTACCAGCAAGAATAACATCTATCCATCCATTTTCTGTTATGCTTCATCCCTGTTGGGGTCACCAGGGGTGCTGGTGCCCATCTCCAGCTGTCTACGGGCGAGAGGCGGGTCACACCCTGGACAGGTCAGCAAACATAACATCTCCTGGAAAATTTTTACTTTTGTTTGAGGAAATGAAAAAAAAGTGATGGACTGATAAGAATAAAGAAAAATCCAAGCGTATTGATTAAAGAACAAAGGAAATTTCCAATAAGTCAGTTGGAAAATAAGGGGATAATAGAACAAGAAGAATTAAAATCTAATTCTGTGTCTAATGTTGGGTGAATTTAAAATAATTAGAGCTTTTCATGAGCAATGTAATGACCCTTTAACCCTCATTGGACTGGTTAAGGCTATGGTACCAGACAGCAGCAAAACAATATATTGCACTATAAACACTGCTTTAAAAATCTACTTCTGGTAGATTAGGTTACAGCAGTCCAGTAGTCCTAATGCTGTAGAAACCTTTTTAATGGTTCAGCATTACTAGCTGATTAATGTCTTTAACCACTGATCACTATGAAGCACACTCTCTGCAAAATAGAGGATATCACTAAATTTTAATCCATGTCGCAAAGGAAAAAAACAGCATATCAGTAACTTGGTTGATTCTGAGACCGGCTCAGTTACTTTCTGAAGCTATTCATAATGTAAAGTCAGTTTAGGGTTATTAACTTAAAATTAATGTCAACAGTAAGCTTAAAATACATCATAAATTACATTTTAGAACAAAATGACATTATGCACTACATCTCTGAATGAGAACTCAAAAAAATCCGGCGTAACTAATTGAAAAACCTGTATCAACAGTTCAACATCTTCTTAACAATGACAATATACTTTAATGTCTTCCAGTCAGGTTTCCGTGCCAACCACAGAGACAGCCCTGATTAAGGTGTTCAATGACATCTGTATAAATTCAGACTCCTGAAGAACCACAGTGCTGGTAATATTGGACCTCAGTGCAGCGTTCGATACTGTTGACCACTCGATTTTATTAGAGGGTCTGAGAAACTGGGTCAGCCTTTCTTGTACAGCGCTGGACTGGTTTAAATGGACTCAGACCTGAACCTTCAGAGCACATAAAGGCAGTCAGCCTTTTATCACCTGAAGAACATCTCCAGGATTAAAGGACTAATGTCCAAGCAGGATCTAGATAAACTCATTCATTCTTCATAGGTTTGTCTCAAAAGTCCATCAGTGAGTTGCAGCTGATCCAAAACTCTGCTGTCTGTCTGATTATGAAGTCCTTCCACTGGCTTCCTGTAGCTCAGAGAATAGACTTTAAATTCTTCTTAGTCTATAAATCACCGAATGGATCAGCACCCTAATACGTAACAGATTTTTCATCAGTGTATGTCAGCCTTCTCTGTCCACACAGACATGGAGAAGCAGCAATTAGTTCCTATGCTGCACTGACCTGGAAAAAATTCCCAGAATAGAGTTTTTTTTTAAAGTCGAAGTTAAAAAAAGCAACATTAGTTCAGAGCTGCCTTTGACTGTTGAAGTTAAAGTGTTAACTGAGGTATTATTAGCTTATGGTTGTGGTCCAACTGGGTTATTTCCTTCTCTATTCGATTTTATCATGTTTTTTACCTGCTTTTATTCTGCTTTTTGTGGTTCAACTTTTTAACGAATGTTCTTACTTTCATCCTGCTTTTACTTTTCCTCTATTTTATTATCTACTTCTTGTAAAGCACTTTGAATTGCGCATGTAGTGAATTGTGCAATACATATAAACTTGCATTGCCTTAACTTACGGTTACTCACAGAAATATTCCCAGACATTGTACTTCTTCATGTTTTGTTACATTGCTATAAAATGTAAATTTTATTAAGAAACATAAATTCTGACATCCTGATTTTAAAATAAAATAAAAGATTTTTAAAGATGTGGCATCCATTTGTTTAGTAAGATTTCCTTTTATTACCCTGAGATACAGTCTTTTGCAAACAGTTGCCTTAGGTAGTCACCTAATTAATGTTAGAGCTGAAGGCATTAGGAGAACATCAATAAACAAAGAAAAAAAGAACAAACAGACCAAGACACACAGCAGAGGGCTCATGCATAGCTGTGGAGATGTTTTTATGGAGGGTTAAACACTCAATTTAAAAGAAAGAAAAAATCTCACACCTTAACAGTAAAGTGTTATCTAAAACATGATCCAGTTTCTTTTAAAATAAAGAAACAAAATGACTTGAAGAGACAGAGATGCTTTGCCGCTGTATTCTGGTGCCAAGAGGAAGTAGACATTTAATTATTCTTCATTTATCATTTAGAGAAACTGTTACATAATGGCCTGCTGAGAGAGCTGGAGCTTCTCTAAAACAGCCAGCGACAGGGATTCCTGCTGCATCAGTGCTTGTAGCTGCAGTTTTTCAGCTCTTTTGTTGTAAACACCAGAACTCCCACATGTCTGTGTGTTTATGTGTGTGTAAGTTATTTATGTTCGTATACCTCTACTAACTGCATCTGTAGTACATGCATGCTTTACTGGCTATGTACAATATAGCGGTAATGGTTTTCTCTGGCCATTGAGTTGCATGGATTTGTCTTTGCAGTGTTACTGTATGATTTGTACTAATAGTTTAGTTGGTCACTCCATCTTTTCTGCTGTAGCAACTACTGGATTGCCATAAAATCTATATGTTAGAGTGCAAACATATATCTTTTACAGAAGATAAATACTATTGGCATTAATAGTCCCCAAGTGTGCCCTCATGTACAATTAAAAGGAGAATGTTTTCCTTTTTACGGTAAAATGTTCCCACGTCAGCAGAATTCATTGGCACCTAGATGAGGCTGTTATAAATATTCAGAGCTCTCGGAAGAATATTTTAATTCCTCCTCCAATACCAGAGCTTTTATTGCACAGTGCAGGGAAAAGGTGGCCTTTGCAAATTGGATCTGTTTTGTTTTTGATGTTTTGAAACTTACATGTACAAGACCATTTAAATTTAAAAAATCTAACAAAGATAAACGGATAATCTAAACCAGGCAGTTCTAAATCAATTATATCCATCATTATAGGTTGGGAAACAACATTGCAAACCAAACTCTGGCTACTTTTAAATGCAATCGACTTTTTAACCTAATAACTGGTTGTTCCTCCTTCGGCAGCAGAAAAGTCCATTAAGTGTTTGCAAAAAATGCTAGGGCTTTTTTTACATCTCCGTGGAGGAATTTCGGCCCATTATTTGTTATTGTTTTATTTTAACTACATTGGAGAGCATAAACAGTGCTTCATGTCTGTCCCCTTGTATTTTATTTTATATATATATAAAAAAAAAGTTTCCACTCAATTAGGCTGCTGTATCTTTCAGCCACCATAAGGGAGATGCCTGTTACTAAAACCTCCAAGCTTCTGTGCTGAAGGATGGCACTAATGGCAAAACAAGCACAATGAAGGGAATTTTTCCAGGAATAAAAGAAAAACAATACACGTATATCCAAAGAGAAAGACAACATTAGGATAGGAAGCAGTGGTTTTCCATAATTTTCACACCAAACTTATGATTGCCCTAAAAATGCATAAAGAGAAAATACAACCTAAAAGTAAAGGTATCGCTTATGTCGCTTTCTTTTATAGTTCATTGTTTCCCCTCTCTTTTGTCATTTTGCAAAAAAAGGTAAGACATTAAATAGATTAAACAATATTTTAGCATTAAAACTGCAGTTATAAACATTGCTCATTTTCTAAACGCCTTTACTGAGCAAAACATCGCCTTGTAATTACAATCTGCTCCATATTCAGTATGATATAAACATTTTACTACATAATAAAGCTTTATGGGAAGCAGTTTTTACATATAACAAAGCCCATTGCTTTTAATATCCGAGTACCTCTACTACTGCAGCTTCTTCCTCTATTACTTCAAGTGCCTCCCACCACTACATCAGGCAACAAACCCCACAGCACGCAGGTTCAGCTGATTAGTTTCATCCCCACAGAGCAAAGAAACAAAGGGATGGAAGAAAGCATCCGCTGGGCTCTGCTTGTGTCAACAAGTCTTTCCTCACGACCTGGGTACGTGACAAGCTGCTGTAATCTCAGAAATTACATGAAGTATTCATGAATGTGTCACTTTCAAAACAGTTTAAATAATTAAGGAAACCACTTAACAATGAAGCCAATAATTGCGCCTGGATGAAAGTGTCTCTTAATTAGCTCCTATTTGCTTTTCACCAGGTCCAGTTAAAGACTATTCTCTAGCGTGTCACATGTCAATTGGAACATTTACTTTGAATCTCAGCATCAATGTAAATGGTTACCTAGATTGTTTTTTAAATGTGATCAAATTCTTATGCATTTCCATAATGACAGAAAACAACCACATTTACAGAAAAGAAAGAAAAAAGGAATATACCCAACATCCCTAAAGCTATACATTGAAAACTTCCATTATGTCCAAAAATAACAGCATTTTCTGCTGCAGAACAAGAAAAACAAGTTTAACTTTACTTACTTGAGGCCAGGAATGTCCAGAATATTGGTGAGGCCAGTCCAGTTTATGTCAAGGAGCTGAAATGAAGAACAAAATAATGAAAAAAAAAAATGAGATCATACTTTTATACCCATGGGTAAGACTGCAGTAACAAAGAGTGTGAATGACTCCAAATGGGTCCATACACTCAACATTATTGTTTCCTGCCACCAACTTCCTTTTACCTCCCTGCTTCATGCTTTCTGGCCGACACACTGGCTGATTGATTATAACACTCACAGAGAGCTTATCTCAAGCTGCAGCAAACTTTTATATTAAAAGTTTCCTCGGGAGAGTTTCTTGTTTGGTTCCTTCTTACCTCATTATAATTCAGTATTTACTTGTTTAGCCTCATCGAAATGTAACACCTGTAAAGGGTTGCTCTTTCATTTTAGAGGTTTTTGACTCATTTTTCTCAAAGGTTTAAAAAATAAATTCTTCAAATAAAAAAACCTTGTTGAGTATTCTCTTTAATAATTAGTAGCAAAACAAAAAAAAACCTTAATTTAACTAACTGTTCAACCTCTTTTTAATGATTGCTCACTATGGGATTTAGAGTATTCACTTTTCTTTGGATACTTTTTTATGTTAATAAAATCTAATAACATAAAACTCTCCATTTAAACAATATCTTTATTTAAATCCTAGGAATTTTTAGAAACAACATGCAAAAAGCTAATATTTTAACTTCTCACACATCTATTCTGTCAATCAGATTTGGAATTTTTTTTTTTTTTTTTTTTTTTTTTGCATTAAGCAGTACCTTTGTAACATAAAGGAATAAAGGGCTCTTAAGTTAAAGGTGTAGTGGGGTATTTTCGCATATTTTTGAAAAGACCTGCCCTCCCTCTCCGCTTAAAAAAAAATGCACATGTACAACCCTGCACCCGCTCCTGAGAGGAAACCACTATTAAACACATGTTTGTTTAAAGGTTGCTGCTTGCATCACTTATACAAGCTTACTTTCCAAAAGATTTTCAATTTTTCCACTATGTCAAACTCTCCACCGGTAGGTTAAAATGGGGACTAGCGCTTAGGACGGTCTTATGTAAACATATCACCAGAATGATTGACAATTAGGAGGACCATTTTGATGATCATACCGGAAAAAAAAACATCCTCCACTAAACCTTAAAGACAGACCATTTTTTAACAGGCAAGGTCTTTCATTGCTTCAATTTTCTTCCATATCTTTAAATCATTAACATTTATCAGGTGCAGGTGTGTCCTGTAGTATTTTAGAAGTTGTTCTGGGTTCCTTTTTGAATTTTTAGATGCTCTCTTAGAGTGATTTTTGTTAGTTGGTCACTGCAGAGAAGGTTTGCATGATTTATGGGTAATTGCAGAAAGTGTAATTCACTGAAGTCTTAATGATCCAGTGAACCACAGTTATGTACATAATGCAGTTTTATGCAAAATTGCTTGAGGAGAAACCAACACTGTAGCATCAATCTTAAAAAAACATTAACTGTCTGGTGAACACTGCAGCTTGATGCAATCGTGCACACAGTAAAAAAATAGCCTCTTTCTTCATTTTCTACTGGCTAATTGCTTTCCATGTGTTTACATTTTTTACCAAAAAAATATATTTTTACCATTTAAATTAAATTGTATGATTTTTAATACATGGTAATGTTGATAAAGATCTTCATTTTTGGGCAAAATTTTTAAAAGCAATATTTGTTCCCATCAGTCCAGGAGAGAAAGGTGAAATGGAAGTGATATCCCCAGCATAATGCTGTACTTTGTCATGAAAAACACAAAGCGTTTCTCTTGAAAGAATGATTTACTTTTTAACTTCAAGTTTTATTTTAGATCTGACAAATGAAAACTAAGAAGGGCTGCAACTAACGATTATTTTGTAAAGCGATTAATCAGTCGATTATTTTTCGATTAATGGATTAATAATCGGATAGCAAGAGGTTCCTTAAATAAGACTTTTTACAAAATTAAACCAGGTGAAACTAAAACTTTTCCACTTGATGAGATCTGGATAGATCACACTTTGTTGATGTTTTACAATCGTGGTATATTTACTACTGTAAGTGGGTTGCTCTGTCAGCTAAAGGCATGTTTTAGTCTCTTTACTGCAGTTAACAATTAATCAGTTATTAAATTAGTTGACAAATATTTCAATAATAGAGTACCGTAATCACGTTTAATCCAACTAATTGTTTCTGACCAAAAACTACATTTTATTTTGAAGTACATTAATTCTATTAAAGAAAACAATTGCATAATATTATGTTTGTTGTTAGGTTAGGGGAAATTTCCATCAAAAAATTGTGATACTAACCCATGTTTGGGCCAAAAACATGAAGAAACAAGGATTTTTTTGCAGCATTCCAGGTAAACAACAAGGCAGCCATCATCAACTTTAGAAAATTCTAAATGTATGGAAACTTTAGTGTCTTTAGGCTACTAAAACCATTACTCAGTGAAGTAATGTTGCAGTCAGACCTGGATATGTAAACTAAATATTCCAGAGCTTGTTTGTGAAAATTGGGGAATCTAAATTTACTGTTTTCAGGCAATCCACAATTTTGACCTTTCAGTGTAGATCACCAAATATAAAAAAATTCTTTACTGTCAGACAATTTTTAGTAGGAACTTATTCAAAATGAATATAGAAACTCAACCGACCATATATTGTAGCGAAAAAGCCACTGCAGGTTGCTAATGAGTCCTACCACCTCCTCAAAATGGAAAAAGTACTCCACTGTTCTGTTTAAGCTTTAAAAGCAGTTTAATTTAGTGTAAGGTTTGTGAAAACAATTAAATGTTATCAAGATGAAATGAATAAAATGAGGAAGGTTACAGTTTTTTTTTTGTTTTTTGTTTTTTACATATTTATACAATAAAACAAGAGTGTAACAACATAAATGTGACTCCTAGCTGATGGCGGCAGTAGGTTATGACAAAAAGTAAGGGGTCCTTCATATTTCTTTACAGTCCCTTTAAAAAAAACACCAGAAACTAAAAATACATATTAATGGTTGCCACTTGATTCTAAATACATTTTTTTAACCTTTCACGTGAAACGCTTAAGCAGAAAGCTGCGACCAGGCTCTCTGCAGCGCACTGGACATGACATCATGTGGAAACTTTCTATTCACACAAACAATATTATCACAGGACAGCTTATTGTCAGTGGTGTTAAACTCCTGCTCTGAACTTTTACACAATCTCCTCTTTTACTTTGTAACCTTAACAGCAGCACAAGTAGCTGCAATCCATAATTATATCCTGATGGTCTGGAGCACACCTGAGCTAAAGCCCAAAGCTGCATATAGAGTCTGCAGGCAAGCTAGAGGAGAGACACTACTGACAGGAGGGTCTCTCTGATTTCTCAGGAAAACCCTTCTGCTGCGTTGGCAGCAAGGGATGTGAAGGCTGTGCCTTGACAGCTTACATCCACAGTAAATGAAGATACCTCTTCCTCAATATTCTCCAGACACTTCATTGCAGGAAACACATTCCTCTCTAAAGGTTTCACCTTGGCTGAACATTGTTTTGACTCTGTGATGCAGATAGTTTCACCATCTTTCCTCAGAAATTCTGGCCCAAAATGACATGATCTGCTTCAGTGTTTTTTTTTTTTTCTTAGAGGAGCTCTGACTGAGTTCAGGTGGTTATAGAATACTGCAGATTCTCTGCCACATCCAAGAAGCCAGATTGTGGTTGAAAAGGAAGATTATCTGAGCTCTGTTAAGGTGAAATAACTTAGTTTTAATAAAGCATCTTGTACAAGATGAGAGCAAAAACTGTAACACAGAGCATCCACATCTGAGTGTAAGCTCTGGCGCAATATAACCTCTGTCTTTTATACCAAAGGACAAGAGAAGTGCAGGAACATTATGACAAACTGTGAGAACTAGCTTCTCAGCAAGGTGCTGTGAGAACTGGCTCCTTTTTATCTATCTTTTGCAGCTGCAGAACCCAAATCCTCAGGCTGGCAAAGCAGAGAAGCACATTCTACAGAGTCCATAAGCATATTAAAACAAAGACTGAAACACTCGGATTAATCAATTATTGAAATAATTGTCAACTAATTAACTTATTGTTTAAGCGTAAGTGGAGTATAGACACTCTAAAAACAAACGCCTTAAGTTGACAGGGCAACCCACTTAGAGCATATACCAAAATTGTAAAAAATTTTTTTACAATATATAAATATTTTTCAATTACGATAAAAAACAACAACATTTTTGTCCATCATTTTGCTTTATCTAGAACTCCTCAAGTGGAAAAGTTTTAGTTCCACCACATGTGAATTCTGTAAAAAAAAATCTTCTACAGTGTGTAATAATTACAGGGATATACAGTCAGAAATGTAATATATTATACATAACTATGTTATTTATCATCATCTACGAGCTCAGCCTCTTAACCTTAATATTTGCGTTGCCTTAGAATTCGTTATTTATAATTACATAGGAGCGGGTCTCGCAGCCATAGAGGCAGACATCTTTGCGCTACGGCAGCGCAGAGCCAACAAACTAGCGATTGCGAGATCGCCCATTACGCTCGAAAGTAATTGCGGCAAGTTGAGAGAGATGAACTGAGACGGTACTGAACAATAGATGGCAGTATTAAAATTATCTATGTAAACAAACCTCATCACTTGAGAAGGTAGGTGATGCGGACGTCGTGGAAGACATTTTGTCCCGTAACGCTCGCCGTGCTTTTGGGGGGGGGGGGGGGGGGGGGGGGGGGGGGGGCAATGTTCATGTTGCTGCGGCCTGCAGTTGGAACGTTGGATGTCGCTGAAAATTACACACTGTAGCTTTAAGGAACTTTTAATTGACAAATTATAATACAAACCATGGGTTAATCAGTGCTGGAGACTTGGGTTCAGAACGCAATGAAATGAAATGGAAATGTCATGTGAGAAATTTTGTTTCGTATACACAGAGTGTATACAAAATGCCAAAAAGGTTTGTCTAAGTCTAACAAATATCTCATTAGAGCTATATAGCGAAGTACTCTTCTTTTTTTTTGTTTTCTGATTTCTAAATCTGAATTTTGCTACGGTTTC